CCTCCTACCCTGCCCCCAGGTTTGCACCGCGCCCCACCTACCCTGCCTCCGGCTTTGTACTCCATAAAAGTCAGAGCGTCCAGGCACTCGGGGCCACTGCCAGACTGCGGGCTTTGGTTGGCAGCGGACCCCGGGCCCAAACTCTCTTTTCTCTATCTCAGTGTCTCGCGTCTTTTATTTCTACAGTTTCTCATCTCCACACCCGCAGAGAGGGGCTCACAGGACCCTGCAGGGCTGGACCCTTCCAGGGAGGTTTGTGCAAATGAATCGCTACTCAAAGGAAGCACAAGGAGGAGCAGTCTTGGGCTGGACCTTAGGTCTTGGGTACATTTTCCAGCAGGGCGGGCTGCATTTGCAGGGCTCAATGCTCCCTCTGAAGGCAAATGCCTCTGAGCCTGCTGGGTTCAGGCCCTCACGGAGGAACAGGCGTGGCTCCCGTTCCTCCCTTCTGAGGGAGGACCTCAGAAGCCATCCTTCGAGGAACAGGAGTCCAAAGGGACAGCTGGGGCAGGAGAGCCTCTCTGTCCTACAGAGCGGGCAGGAGGCATCTCCCAGGACTTGGGGCTCAGGGACAGGGTGCAGCGGAGTCACAGACAGGTACAGGGAGGAGAGCGGTGCAAAGGGCAGCCCAGGTGCAGACCTGAGGGGAGAAGGAGCAAGGAGTATTTGCAGAATTGAGCGTGGAGTGACTGAAGCTGCACGAGCCAGAGCTCAGGAACTGAGGCCAGAGAGGCAGAGCTGAGAGGCCTTGAGGACAGGGCCTGGGTGGGGCCCGGCAGAGGGGCTGCGCGGGGGTGGGGCTCTGCAGGGGTGGGGCTCTGTGGGGGTGGGGCTGTGCGGGGGTGGGGCTGCGCGGGGGAGGTGCTGCGCGAGTGTGGGGTTGCTCAGGGGAGGGGCTGCACGGGGGAGGGGCTGCGCGGGGGAGGGGCTGCGCGGGGGAGGGGCTGCGCGGGGGAGGGGCTGCGCCGGGACCCTCCGGGGTGAGAGGTGCTGGATCCTGCAGGTCGTGACAAAGGTTTGGTCTGCTGCCTGCAGTCAGTGGCGTTGCTGAAAGGGAATGAAGCAGGCCCAACATGATCGAATGTGTCCTTTTGAAAGGTCACTACGGCTTCAGTGTAAAGGATGGTTCGGAGTGGTAGACAGACAGAGGTGGCCGGGCTGGAAAATTGTCTCAGAAGTGCAGACAAGGTGGAGGGGAGCTAAGTGAGCCAGTGCCGTGGGGGCAGGGGTGACCAAAAGTGAGTGCATTTGGAACCTACTGAAGACACAGACCACCATGGCAGAGAAAGGCTGGAACCCAGGATGCCCCAGTGTGAAGCCTAATCAAGCACATTGTCCCATGGCCTGGTCCCTGAGCTGCAGAGCCCCAGGGGAGGCACAGGTGCAGGAGAAAAAAATCCATGGCACTAGCCAGGTCACTCCGAGGTTCCTAGGGAATGCCAGGTAGAGGTGGCCGGCAGGTAGTTGCGTGGCTTCCACATGTTAGCCCTGGGCGAAGAAAGCAAGGAAGAGGAGACTCCGGTGGGAGGAGGGAGACGGTTTGGGTTGAAATATTTGTGGCAGGAGCCTCTCGGTTTTGTGACACTTCTGAGACACGATGGATAGATGAAGCCTGCTCCACCCTGGGGTCAACCTTCTTAGAAACACAGGGACCAGCAGGAAAAGAAGACGTGCAGAGAGGTGGGAAAGCACAGAGGGCAGGAAGAGCCAGGGCCGCCAGGAAGCCGAAATCCATTTACCCTCCTTTAGAAACTGGTGACAGCCTTTCACGTTCTGGCATTCTCTGCAGAAATTCAGGAGCGTGTCCACACCCTATGCGCACACTCTGCCTGTCTGAAGACACTAAGGGAAAAATCGTGAAATGGAAACAGAAGCCACGGTCCTCTATTTCTCTTACTTCAAGACAAGTGACAGAAGGAGCGCTGCTCAGTCACACGGCAGTTCCCAGGTCCACCTGCGGCACCTCCAGACACCAGCCCCAAAGGAGAGGCTACTGTGGGTTTTTTGTTTGTTTTCTTCAGTATGATGCGTTTTCTTTGCAGTTTAATCTCTCTCCACCCAACAAAGACGACAGAGAACAGGTCTCACTGCTCTTCAGGGAAACCCACAGGAGACCCTGGAGAGCGAGCCATCCTCATAGCCTGCCAGGAAGTCATGTCACTCCACAGGGTGAGGTGCCCATGTCTCCACCAATACCTTCAGGAGGAGTGGTATTTTCAGCCTTGGGCATCATCGTGTGTGCTTCAAAATGTGGCTGCAAATGAAAAGCCCAAATCTGAGTGGCTTTATCCTATCAGAGTGGAAGATCGGGATTCTAGGATGGATCAGAAAGTCGGAACTTGAGCTGGGAGTGGGAGCAGTGCCCGGGAGCCTGGGCGGAGGGACGGCACGTGGGGACAGCCCTAAAGGGGCAGCACCAAGCACTCACCAGCTCTGGAATTTTCCTCCAGCCCTGTCTGCCCCCATACGGCACCCCCGGTGCTGGAGGAGTGTGAAGGGTGGACTACCTCGGTGCCGTGGTGCTCCTGACCACTGTCAACCTGGACATTCAGCCACAGAGACCTCAGCCCTCCTGAGGTAGTTGCTCATGTTTAATCATCCTGAGGGGTAGAAAGTTTATTCTCATGTTGCACTGAATAAATCATTAAAGCTATTCATTGCCAGGTGCAGTGGCTCTGCAGGTAATCCCAGCACTTTGGCAGGCCGAGGCAGGAGGATTGCTTGAGCGTAGGAATTTGAGACCAGCCTAGGCAACAAAGTGAGACTCCTTCTCTATAAAAAATTTTTTAAAACCCAACTGGGTGTGGTGGGGGTGATGGGAGAGGAGGAGGAGGAGGGTGGGAAGGGAAGGGGAAGGGAAGGCATTACTTCCGTCTTACAGCTCCATCCCTCTTCCACACACCCCACAAGCATTTGGGATCACAGTTGTGTTCCTCTGTCTCTGCTGTCCCTGCATTTTGCTGGGTAAATGTCCCTGGGTGACCCTGATCCTTGTTTGAAAGGTAGGTTCCAGGGCTCAAGGGCACAGTGGCAGGGAGAGAGAGAGAGAGAGAGAGAGACAGAGAGAGAGAGAGAGAGAGAGAGAGAAACATAGAGATCAGGGGCTGAGGACTACTGGTGTCTGCCTTATCCAGTCTTTGCAGGATCACCCCGGCAGCTGGGCAGCATCCCCTGGTCCAGAACCGAGCAGCAGTGCTGACACAGATGTCCTTTTCTCTCCACGTGACCCTTTGGAGTCTCCTGAGCTGCATGAGTGGCTTGAGGCAGAGACAGAACCATGATATGAGCCAAGCTGCTGTCCGGGTAAAGTCTACCATGGTTAAGCACTATCTCAAGCGTGTCTGAAACGCACATACACGCACGCAGCGTGTTCTCGCCATCCTTTTACGCAGCGTGCCCTGACTCATATACTTACAGTAGACTATCAGTCACTCACCCCGGTGCCTGCTGGGGACCCATGGAGAGCATCCCCTCCATATGGCTCATGCCCCGCCCCCATGAAGTTTGGTGGTGGTGGGTGGGATATGGGCAGCCGGACACCCAGGGGCCTCTCACGTTGGTGAACCCCTTGCCGCCCCCCCAGGGCCCCCCATATGCACCTCTGGTCCTGCTGTGTTGTTCTGTGTTGCAGAACATCCCAAACAGCTCCGGGCAGAATTCCAGTCCCAGTGTCTTGTCGATGACAAGTAAGAGAAACCCTGCACAGATCTCGGCTCCTGAAGCCCAAATGTCCAGGGGCAGGCGGGGTGCCCCCCAGGTCCTGGGCTTACTCTGCTTCCTCTGGGGTGCTCCCCGACCAGGACCCAGAGGGCAACACCCAGGACAGCACAGCAGCGAGGGCCCTTTCCCCGGCAGAGGCTCCCCCAGAGGTCTGGGCTGCTCTGAGGGAAGCCCCTGACCAGTCCCACTCCTGGGAGGGCTGCATTTTAGGATGGTTGATTTTAGGATCAGCTTGGCTAGGCCATGGTGCCCATTGCTCAGGTGTTTTTCAGATGGGATGAGCATTGAAATCTGTGGACCTGAGTGGAGCAGATACCCCTCCATAATATAGGTGGGCCCCGTCCAATCTGCCAAAGGCCTTAAGAGAGAAGACTGTGCTCCTCTGTGGAGCACAGCCTGCAGGCTTCAGACTTGAGCCTGGAGCAGCGACTCCTCCCTGGTCTCCAGCCTGCTGACATACCGGGCAGCTTCCAGATTTGCAAACCTCATGATCGCGTGAGTCGTAGGACAATTCCTTAAACTCAGTCAAACTATCTCTGCTGCTGTCTGTCTCTCTCTATCTCTCTGGTGAGAAATGGGAGCGTGGACTGACTGGAGATCAGCTGCCCCTGGCCCCTGCCCCTCTCCAGTCCCCGCAGAGGCTTCTGTGTGGACCTAGAGGGAACCAGCAGGGTCCTGCACAGGGCGGATGTGACCTTTGGCCTCCGCGGTCTCTGCCCCCAGAACTTAAACCCAGCTGGACCCAAGGCCATGGTCCCCATGCCAGCCCTGCCCACCCCAACCCGTGCCCACCACAAAGCCCAGGCTGTCAGCACACACTGCACACTCCACACAAGGGGCCGGTTGCCCCTCCTCAGAACTCTGTGATCAGCCTCAGGGCCCTGCCCTGTGCCATGCAGAAAGGCACCTCTTCCCCAGGAAGCAGGCTGGCTCCCTTCTTTGAAAGCCTGAGTGCTGGCGTTGCTCTCCTGGGCTCACACCCTTGTCCTACTCCACCATTATTGTGGCAGGCATTGCTCCTACAATCAAAATCAAAATTCTCACGGTGGAACCCACCCCTCGGTCACTGCCCTCCACTCTCCTCCCTCTCCTTGGGGATACTCTTGCTCCTGGGGCGAGGCATCAAAGGTCCCAGCGTGGTGGGGCTTTGAAATGGCAAGCAGTGAGCGTAAGAAGAGCAAACGGTTTCCTCTCATTATAAGCAACGGCTTTCAGAGCTCCGTTGGGGGAAAAAAGTAGCTCATCTTTTCCTTGGGCATTTTCTCTCCCTAATGTCCAGTTCTCAGTGGCAAACCCTCCCAGAGTTACACAACAATTTGGAAATATTTTAAATGGTTAGAAAGGAGGGATCCAAAAGGGGCAGGTACCGGCTGAATAAGATGTAAATGATTCTCTAGGGCAAAAGTCAGGAAGATGAAAGCATGAACATAATAAACAGCCCTGGCTAATTTTCAGGGAGGTCCCAGACAGGCAGGGCCACTCCGGAGCCAGACCTGGGAGCTGGCCGGGGAGCCACCGCCGGAAGTGTGGGTCCTCCCAGATCAGTGCGGGGCAGGGCAGTTTGTTTGCTGTTGGAGGAGAGTCCCTTTGTCCCTTAGACTCACCCGTGAGTCCAGCAGCTTCAACGAAGGCAGGGCAAGAACAAGACAGCACAGAAACAGCTGGAGCCTTGAGCCTTTCTTGTGGCTTCTTGGGTGTGGGGCACAGATTGGGAAGATCTTGGAATCTGATTGCCCTGTTTGGAGCCAAGGCTGCAGACCAAAGCCAGGGATAGTTTGCCTCTCACTTTCTCATCCCTGCCGATGTGTGATCCAGGCCCTAATGTCCATCTTGCAGAAACGCTATGCTCAGCAGTCCACAGAGGGAAGTGCCTGTGTTCCATATCTCCAGGTGTGAACATCCAGGGCTTCCTACCTGCAGCATCCCAGCCAGGAAGCAGCACAGAGCATCTCCGCAGCCTGAAGATGAGGGGTCCTCCCTGTGACCTCACTCTTGCAGACAGACCAGCAGCCCCCTTCTTAGTGAATTCCTTCCCAGGTAGAGCCTGTCTGACCCCGAATTCCTAGAAACACAGCTCCAGTTCTACTTCCAGTTAGGTCCCTGATAAGTAATACAAAGCCAAGAGAGTTTTCATCTTTGAGACAGAGTTTGTAGCCCAGGCTGGAGTGCAGTGGCGAGATCTCAGCTCACTGCAACCTCTGCCTCCCGGGTTCAAGCGATTCTCCTGTCTCAGCCTCCTGAGTAGCTGAAACTATAGGAGTCCACCATGCCCAGCTAATTTTTGTATTTTTACTAGAGACAGCGTTTCACCATGTTGCCCAGGCTGGTCCCAAACTCCTCGCCTCAAGTCATCCACCTGCCCCTCCTAGCAAAGTGCTGGGATTGTAGGTGAGAGCCACCATGACCGGCCCCAACAGAGTTTTCAGACTGCGGGACCTTTGAGTTCCCCTTAACTGACACCCCTTAATTCTCCCCTGGCGCTGACGACAAACCCCAAATGCAACAGGCAGAGACGGCCCCTCCCAGGTTGGGGCGCTAGTGGGGAGAATGAGAAAGAAAGAGCCTCAGATCCATATCCCTGCTGGGAAAGAGGTAGATAAAAGTCCCAGCCTTGACCAGGAGAGAAAAGAAGCAGAAGTCACAGCGGATCCTCAGCTGCGTCTTCAGAAGGGTATGAGCTGCATCATCAATACATCACAGTGAAACTTACAATTCCTGCCCCAGTTCATGGTGCTGTTGATGAGATGGACCGGGAAGAACCCAGTTAGAATGGACCCCAGACAACATCTCATCCCAAGGCTCTGTCCCCTGCTACTTGGAGCAGAGAAGGGAAGGACATTTCCACCGGGCACACCCTTATGGGATGGGGGTCCCAGGCCCCCCCTGCCCTCCTGGCTCTCGCCACCCTCCCGGGTGCCCTACATTATCTAGGGGTCCCAGCTCTGGAGGAAAATAAGAAGGGACATCACCTGCACTAGGAAACCTGCAAGCAACAGGCCATGCCATAGGCTGAACAGTGTCTCCCTGAGAAAAAAGGGAAGTGAAGAGTCCCAGCCCTCGGGCCTCAGAATGTGACCGCAGTTGCCCATCACCCCACCCTCCAGCATGGTTGCCTGTGCTTGTTTCTAGCACTACGACCTCCCCTGGGTGTGGGCTGTGCCAAGGCCCCTGGGCAGTAGCCCTCACCTGTCCCCAGCCACTGGGCCCTGATGGGGCTACCCCTGAAATCTCTCTCTGCTTTTTTTTTTAGACAGAGTCTCACTCTGTCACCCAGGCTGGAGTGCAATGGCTCGATCTCGGCTCACTGCAACCTCTACTTCCTGGATTCAAGTGAGTCTCCTGCCTCAACCTCCTGAGTAGCTGGGATTACAGGCGCCCACCACCATGCCCAGCGAACCTTTGTATTTTTAGTAGAGATGGGATTTCAACATGTTGGTCAGGCTGGTCTCAAACTCCTGACCTCCAGTGATCCACCAGCCTTGGCTTCCCAAAGTGCCGGGATTACAGGCGTGAGCTACCACACCCAGTCCCGAAGTCTCTTTATAGAGTCTTTGCTGAGAGCAGCAGCCCTGGATCCTAGGTCCACTCTGCAGAAGACCTGACAAGGGGCACCCTTCTCTGCTGCAGGAAAAATGAGTACCCACTGCCGGCCGCCATTGTTACAGCTCCTCCTCCGACCCACCTGCCCCCCTCTGGTGCCTCCCAGGACTCTGATGACATCAGCCCCACCCAGAGCATCCAGGATCCGCTCCCTGTCTCAGGACCCTTTACGTCATCACATCTGCAAAGTCCCCTTGGCCATGTAAGGTCACATATTCACAGCTTCCAGGGATTAGGATGGGGACATCTTTGGGAACCATGACTCTGCCAATCACAGAACCAAATGAGGTCACTGGGGAGAAAGGGGCAGCAGAGGAGAGAGAGGGCTGGAGGCCTGGGCAGTACAGGTGAGCTTAGGGCAGGAGCCAGCCCCAGACAGAGCCATCAGGTGGGGGGAGCCTCAAGAGTGATGGGCCTTGGAGGCCACGAGGGCAGAGAGACGTCATTAGCTGAGATGCAGACTGACCAGGGCCCGTGGCAGCCTGGTGACAGTGCAGCAGGAGCAGTTTTAATGGAAGGTGGGAAGGTGGCAGGAGGGAGCAGGTGGAAGATGAACAGGAAGAGTGGCAGGTCCGGGCACCTTCTCAGAGAGCATTACTGAGGAGGCCAGGGCCACCGTGGAATGCACAAAGCTGGGGTTCTCTGTTTGCATCAGACACTCCCATCAATTGTCCTGGTTCCAGAGACACTGCCTGGTCTCTGGGCTCCATGCAAGGACCTGAGCAGCCCCCAGCACTCCCTTCTGCCCCCTCCTACCTCCCAGCTAGAATCCGCAAGGACAGGCTCACCATGAGGGAGGGGCCCGAGAGCACAGCTGTCTCACATCAGGCCTGGTCAGTCAGGAGACGCTCTCTGAGCTCTTGCTGGGCTCCAGAGGCCAGGGTGCAGGTGGCCACCTCAAGTGGACCCGTGGCCCTGGGGGCTGAAACCCCTGGGGTCTTGTCCGGCAGCAACACACTGGATGTGACCCATGAGAAGCTTCTCCAAAACCCTCTTCCCCACTGGGCCGGTGCCTGTCACAAAAAGCCCTTTCAGATTCTTGTTACCACCCCACACACCCAAGATGCACCTTCCAGGGTCCACAGTCCAAAATGATTTGCACGCAATTTGTTCCAGCAAATGCCCGAGAAGCTGTTTAATATCGAAGGAATAGACTGGGACCCAGGGTTAGGGAATGTAAATATTCTAAATATGAGTGCTCTGGGCCACACGCAGAGGCTCAGGCCTCTAATTCCAGCGCTTTGGGAGGCTGAGGCAAGCAGATCACTTCAGCTCAGGGGCTGGAGACCGGCCTTGGCAGCACGACCAAACCCTGACTCTACAAAAAATACAAAAACTAACTGGGTGTGGTGGAGGTGCCTGTAGTTCTACCTACTTGGGAGGCTGAGGCGGGAGGATCCCCTTAGCCCGCGAGGTTGAGGCTGAAGTGAGCTGTGATCATGCGACTGCACCCCAGCCTGGGCAACAAAGCGAGACCCTTTCTAGATAAATAAATAATAAATAAGTACTTTGATCGTGGAAAATGTTGCTGTACAGCAATCACAGACAACCGAAGTGCTGGCTAAGATAGAATTTAGCCCTTTCTTCTTAAAAGCTGAGCTGTTGTTTTTCTTTTTTTCCTACTGTGCCAAGGCTGGCAAAGTAGAATCCTAGCAACTTTTATATGGGAAAGGAAATGTTAACCCCTGACCCTGGTGCCTGGTTGACTCCTGGGAACTGAACCTTTGTGTCCCTCCAAAATCCACGTGTCGGAACACTAATCCCCGTGGTGATGGTGAGGTGAGGCGTTTGGGAGGTGAGGGTTATAGGTCAGGAAGCTGCAGCCCTCATGAATGGTGCGATGGTGAATTTTCTGTCGACTTGACTGGGCTAACAGGTGTCCAGGCACCTGGTAGAGCATGACTTCTGGGTGTGCCTGTGACTGCGTTTCCAAAAGCATTAGAGTCAGCAGACTGAACTCAGAAGGTCCATTCCCACCGCTGTGGATCAGTGCTATCCAGTCCACGGAGGATGCTGACAGCACCCCAAGGTGGACGAAGGGCAATTTCATTCTCTCTCCTCTGGAACTGGGACATGCATCTTCTGCTCTAAAACACCAAAAGCATTGGCAACAAAAGCCAAAGTAGACAAATGGGAGCTAATTAAACTTAAGAGCTTCTACACAGCAAAAGAAACTACCGTTAGGGTGAACCGGCGAACAACAGAATGGGAAAAAAATTTTACAATTTACACATCTGACAAAGGGCTAATATCCAGAATCTACAAAGAACTTAGAGTTTCAAGAAAAAAACAACCCCATCAAAAAGTGGGCAAAAGATATGAACAGACACTTTTCAAAAGAAGACATTTATGCAGCCAACAAAGATAGAAAAAAACCTCATCATCACTGGTCATTAGAGACGTGCAAATCAAAACCACATTGAGACATCCCCCCACACCAATTAGAATGGTGATCATTAAAAAATCAGGAGACAGCAGATGCTGGAGAGGATGTGGAGAAATAGGAATGCTTTCACACTGTTTGTGGGAGTGTAAATTAGTTCAACCATTGTGGAAGACAGTATGCAGTGTGGCAATTCCTCAAGGATCCAGAACTAGAAATACCATTTGACCCAGCAATTCCATCACTGGGTATATGCCCAAAGGATTATAAATTATTCTATTATAAAGACATATGCACACATATGTTTGTTGTGGCACTGTTCACAATAGCAAAGACTTGGAACCAACCCAAATTCCCATCAATGACAGACTGGATAAGGAAAATGTGGCACATATGCACCATGGAATACTATGCAGCCATGAAAAACGATGAGTTCATGTTCTTTGCAGGGACATGGATGAAGCTGGAAACCATCATTCTCAGCAAACTGACACAGGAACAGAAAACCAAACAACACATGTTCTCACTTATAAGTGGGTGTTGAGCAATGAGAACACATGGACACAGGGAGGGGAACGTCACACACTGGGGCCTGTCAGGGGCTGGGGTGCTAGGGGAGGGATAGCAGGGGGTAGGGGGATTGGGGAGAGAGAACATTAGGGGAAATATAGGGGATGGGTGCAGCAACCCACCATCGTGTGTACCTGTGTAACACACCTGCACGTTCTGCACGTGTAACCCACAGCTTAAAGTATAATTAAAAAAAAAAAAGTTGAAGACCCGCCCCAAGCTCCTGGGGACTGACGAGAGTGACTTTCCCAGAAGACCTTGTGCTTCCAGAGCACTGGCCACTTGGTGTGGTGCCGACCCCGGAGAGCCCCCAAGTGAGGCCAGTAGCCTCTTGTCACTTCCTCCAGGCCAGTTCCTGAGCTCCCATTTCTGCAGCCTGGAAGGAGGAGATGGCTTTGCTCCGTAGGTTATAGGAGATTTCCAAGGGAAGGAAAGAAATCAGAGAATTCACTCCCTGGTCAGTGTCCCGGGCTGGAGGACGAAGGTGAGAACTGCTGGCCAGACACAACCCCCCAACCCTGGGGCCCTGAGAGCAGGGATTCCAGCAGAACACAATCCCCAAAGCCCTCCCAGGTCTTATCTCTCCATCCTGGAGAGAGACCAGCAAACGGGCAGTCAGAGCCGGGAGTCTGAGGGCACGGAGGGAACTACCTTCCGGAGAGAGCCTGTCTCACTCAGCCGGATGTCACCCAGCCCTAACGCTGGGAGCAGAGGGTGTTCAGGCAGCTCCAACCCGGTGGTCCCTGGGGAGGGAGTCTCCTCCCCAGTTCTCCAGGCTCCTCTGGGCGATCGTGCTGCCCCCTGGCCACTGTTCCACCTTACACCACTCACCCCTCTCCCCAGGAGCTTAATTATCATTTACAATGAAAAGGAGATTCCAAATAAAATGCCTCTTATTATGCCCAATCAACCTTTATGGGCAGTCAGTTGCCCAGAAGCAAATCTTCCCTCGCCTGGGTCAGCCCCGCATGTCTGTGAGTGAAAGTCTGCCCCGCCAGCCTTCTGTGAAACTCTCCATGCTCCAGGGTTTGATTAAGCAGACTGGGCTTCCTCGTGGCTCAGGCCTGTGTGCAACTTTCACAGTAAATGCATGCATCGCACGCAGACACAGAGAGGCACACATGGAGAGGTGCACACGGACACACACACGCACGGCTGCACTCACACCTGCACACACGCGCGCACAGATCCCTGCAAGGCCACCTCCTGCCACTGCTCTTGCTCCGGCACCCAGGATTTCATGAAAAGCAAACAAACTGCATCTCCCTGATTACATTTCCTGATTTCTTAGAAAGCAAAATTGTAGTAATTGGTTTACATTAAGCATCATGCTATTTGGAAGAGGGAAATTAAATAGAATACCGTTCGAGCTGATTCGTAGGCAAACATAGCTAAATAAAACGAGCCTAAACAACCATCTTTGCAGGGCAAATTGCAATTTCAGTAACTGCTGCAACAAAAGCTATTCCACCGTGTGGTGTCCGGGTAGCAGGATGGCCTTGGGGATTCCAGGTTCCGGAGAAGCTTCGGACACTCTGGACAGTCCTGTGAGGACTCAGATGGCTCAGGAGGCCCACCCAGTGTCCGGGACTGGGGGGCACTAACAAAGGTTCCAGCTTCTGAAAGTCAGCTCTGCAACTGCCACCCTTCACCAGGCTGCAGGCTCAGCTCACTGGGCCAGCGGTTCAGGACTGTGGCTTGCCCACGGTGCTGAGGGTGACAGGTGTAACCTTCAGAGCCCTCCACCCCTCTGCCACAGGTGTCCGTTCGGGCACCAGGCTCCGGAGCACCCCTGGGGGAGCTGTGAAGATGTGGCAAGGACTCCACCCCACCCTCTCCCACTATCCTGCAGCCTCTGTCGTCCGGGACCAAGTCCCTGACTGAGCCCTTGGTGCGTGTGGCATCCCTCCCCTTTGGCTCTGTGCTCCAGCGTCATGTGAAAATTGGGGCCTAATGGAGTTCAACGAGAAAACATCAAACCACATCTGTGGTTGGCAGAAGTCCATATGGGAAAGGTCGATTCCATGAGCAGGTGTTTAACTTGGGACCTGCTTAGTTGGCCAAGGCTCTATCAGCACCTGACCATTGAGGTTCACGAGGCCCATGAGCTCTGGCAACAGGCGAATGAGGGGAGGAGGGGGAGGAGGGAAGGAGGGGAGGAAGGAAGGAGGGGGAGGAGGGAAGGAAGGGAGAAGGGGGAGGAGGGAAGGAGGGGGAGGAGGGAAGGAGGGGGAGGAGGG